TGTCGTCAATCGGCTTGATCTTTAGGTGATCTCCAATGCCTTGGCTGGACGCAAGCTTGACTATTCCCACTTGCTTTTCGGCTGCATGATAAGAGCAAGTAGTGATTAGTACAGTGGGAGTTTTCCCTTTGGTGGATACATAAGCCTTCTGCTAGCCAATCTAGATATTCCTATGGATGGTTATATTTTCGAGGAATCACCCGTCCTTATACATGCCGCCCTCATCATGAGGCACTATGTCATCCCGCGTAGGCCTCCAGAAGGGGCAGAAGAGGTTGTTCTCGTTGATGAAAGGAGGTCGATGCTTAACCCCTTAGAGCTTGCAAAAGGCGTCGTATGATTCAAGAGGGAGCAAGTGAGGAAGCGTCGAGTGAGGACTAGGGGAAAGACTTTGTTCGAGAAGAACCAGAACGGAATACACCTACTTGCAACAAGAACGAAAAACTAAATAGATAAAGGGGCAATACAATAGACTTTTGGCATGCTTTTATAAACATATGGTTTGCTCTACTTTACTTTTGGCATACAATAATAAACTTGTGGTGTACGTTATTGGTCAAGTGGTGTGCTTTAACCAACTTATGGCGTGCGTTTCTAAACTTGTGGCCTGCTTTGTGCAATCGTGTAATAGAGAGAGGCACCTGGTGTACCATGGCTCCCGATTTGGGCCAAGTGCTTTGGTCGGAGATGATGAATGATTGAGTGAATGGAGGGACGAAAGAAGAAGACTTTGTGCATCGTAATTGCTGGGATCGAATTCAACGAAGAATGGGGGGTTGTGATTACAAAGTTCTAGATCGTAATATGACTTGATTGAAGTGGAATCGTTTGTTGAAATGGAGGAGGCGGAGAGAGATGGGAGATATAAACAAAGAGAGAGAGAGAGAGAGAGAGAGAGAGAGAGAGAGAGAGAATGCGGGACCGAGGAAGGGATGGCGTTACAAGAGGGTGAGAAAATGGTTGGGTGGTTTGAAGATGAGGGTTGGGTTGTCTGGCGAAAAAATGACTTTGGTTCGTACGTCCTTGCCAACCATCCGACGGAAGTGGATTAGAATGTAACATTTTTGGGTCATGGGGGACTGGTATTGCAATTCTATTTTATCCCACAAAAATAGAGCCCACTATTTATCTCGGCTGTTGAGATGGATCGCACGGCAGAGAAGCCTGGTGTACGACATACCGCCATGTTTGGCTGGTACAATAGAATGGATCGCACGGCAAAGGCTATCGTACGTCAGGCGTATGTTGTACGCCTGTGTTCACACTTGGTTTTTGCACTTAAATATATTTCGTTGAATCATAACCGTCGGTTATTATGTTTTTAGATTAAATGAATATTGCGGCTTGGGTTAGAGAATTAGGGACTGAAGTTCACCCATTAGAGGTTAGTGTATAGTATCATGCCCCAAAATCTTGTTAATTCGTGCTCTAAATAGTAAAACTCGACGGTCGTACAATGTACAACTGACGTACGCTATCCTGAACCCATATATATTGCCTTCTACGTACTCCGTGTGAAATCCGGGGTATCGCATACCTTGAGTATGAAAACACTATCTAGACCTCGAATTAGCAGGATTTTTGGGCATGATACTATACCCTAATCCTTAATGGGTGAACCATATGTCCTAATTATCTAAATCATTAACTATAAACTCTAAGATGATGCATTGATTGTTTTGCCTATATTTGGACGAATCATAGCCGTCGATTATTAATTCTAATTAAATTGATTTTGGGGTATAAGATTTAGAGAACTAAGACCTAGATTTTGATCTTTAAGGGTTAGAGTATAGTATCATGTCCGAAAGATCAGCCAATTCAAATTCTGGATAGCGTTTTCTTACTCAAGGTATGCGGTACCCCGGATTTCACCCTAGGTACCGTAGAACTCCCCATATATATAATAAGTACTATTACTACTAGTGCTAGAGTAATTAAAGTACGAAAAGTAAAGGGAAAAGTAAAAGTGATAACTAAACTTTCTTTTAATTAAGATAAAGAAAAGCATAAAAAAAGAAAATATAGAAATCGGTCGCTAGACACCAAGTTGTCTTTGATGCACGGATGGAGCATATGATAGTTGCACATCGAAGGTTCTTTCTTGCGAAGATGGTGAATTATAGCTTGTAGTCGCCTCTGTTGATTGATTTGTTGTGCTTGTTGTGGTTGCTCTTTGATTTGAGGTTATTGTTCTTCTCTTAAAATTTGTGGTCCTTCTCATCATGGGCGGTTCCGGTTTCTTCGCTATTGAGGGCTAAGAGAACTAGCACTCTCACCCTCGATTGGATTGCCATTAGAAAAGAAAAATCACGAAATATGTTCTAACAAACCATTAGGAAACTCACATGATCAATTAAATAACAAAATGCACCCTTAGGTTCACTATATACACCCTCACACTTAAGTGTTACAATGTAGAAACTATAGTTGCATAGGTAGAAATGCATGTTGAAATGACTAGGGTCGAGGTCTAGATGCATGAACACAAGGGTTCCATGTCTTTCAAGAGGTTTCTAAACGTCGGCCGAAGGCTAGAATCAACTCATCTGACAACAACCAAAGCTTGAACTCTTCTCTAAAAGCTTATCGAAGCACACAATTAAAAGTGAGCCAAAATTTCAACTCAAGGATCATGCATCAAAGATTAAATCTTAAGTCATAACTACACTCCTAAGGGTCTATCTTAATAAAAAAAAAGTTCAACTTAAAATCAATGGGTCAAGCAAAACAAGTTCTATTTGGTTTGGGTATTTCATCGAGCACTTGGTGGGCGGCATTCAAAATCCACAAGTTCATAATAATAAAGCCCATCAAGGCCTCCAAACACACATACACAATCATAAACATACATTCTATGATCCTATTTCACTAGCCATGCCATACCCTAGCCATGATGGGTAGGCTAAGCTAGCACTCATCCTCAACACCATTCCTTAAACAACTAGATAGTCTCCAACAATCATTCATATAATTCTTGACATTGAAGGGATTCATTCACTAGCTAAAACTATAAAAACTACTCAAAGCGAAATCAAACATGCAAGTTTTATTTACGAAAAGTAAGGAAATGCAAACCAGTTGTTGGGATACCTCCCAACTAGTGCGTCTTTTAAGTCTTATCGCCGAACCATTTTCTTCAAGTATTCGGTCCAACTTAGAACCTCCTGGAAGTTGAGGTTTGCGTCAGCGAGGTGGTGTCTCAAGTCACGAGCTTTGGATGATCCCATGCTTGAGGACTCGTGAACTTGAGTGGTTTTGAGGCTCCACCCACGAGACCTCTCCTTCTTTCCTTCATCCTTCTTTTCTTTGCCCCACAACGTGTAGTGCAACATCGATTGACTTCTATCGCATCCACAAGAAGGATCGCCAATGGTTTGATCTTGGCTTGGTAAAGAGCCGCAATTGGGTCCTTATCCAAAAGTGAATCTAGGTCGAGTGGAAAGCTTTGGTAGTCCATATAACTTGTAGAAGCTTCATCCACTTCGACCTTGTCCATTGTTCGAACTCCAATTGTGTCTTTAACTTTCTCTCCTTCTTGTCAATATTATTCTCTATGTTGAGTACCAAGTTCTTCCTGTACTTCACTTTATCCTTCCCTCTCCCTCACAACCTCATCAATGCTCCCTTCTTTAGTACTCTCTCCTTGATGACTAGGAGCAATGATGGCTTCACAAACAAGTTCTTCAATGGATGGATCTTCAAAGCCCCTGGCCGACGTGGCACGGACCGCATCTCCAAGGCGCGGTTTATTTATAAAACGCACCTTGGAGGTGTGGTTTCATAAAAATGGTGCTATTTTTGTAATTTTTATGGGCTGGGTGCTATTTTTGTAATTTTTTTTTAAAGGTGCTATTATTGGAAAAATCCCTTAACTATGACGTAAGCAATAACTATAATTCCGTAACTTTTATGTAATTGATGTGTATTAATTTTATGTAACAATCGTAAAGTGTCATTACGGAATTCTTACGTAAAGTGTCATTACTGAATTCTTACGTAATGGAAGGTCCTTTTTCCTCATAATATTAATCTCGAGTTACGTAAAGTGTCAAGTTATTACGGAAACCTTACGTAACTCTTTTGATTTAACTGTTGCGTAAAAAATAACTTTCATTTCGTAATCTTTACATAATAAATAATAAATGTATATTTTAAGTGCAGTTGCGAAATGTGATTTGTATTCAATAATTTAAATTAATTTTAGTATATTTTTACGATATAAATCATGTAAATTACTTGGAATTATGCCTAATTACCTACCTATATTTATAATCATTTTATCTACATTCTAACTTTTGTTGCCGCTGATTAAAAGTCCACCAAACATGTGGATCATATAAACACAAGGCCACTTGTGATTAAATAAGCAGCCTACCCACGGAAGAAAATTCGACAAGGACTCCACGATGAATCTCCACCACAATTAAGATTACAGAAGAAGAAAAAAAGCAAAACGGGAACAAAAACCGCACAAAATACGAGTACCAATAACCTTACAGCATTTGATCTGCTGCCTCCTCCTGGCCACTCCTTTAGATACTGCCCTGCACTCCGAACCACGTGTCACCCAGTCAGGCCACAACTTCCACGTGACCCTCACGTGACCCTTCCCTTCCCTTCCCTCTGTAGAACCCAAAGGTTTTACTGTTCTAGGCTCTTTGATTGGCATGCCTATGCCTTACCTTCTTCCCCCAGCCTTTCCTCTTACGCTCAGTGAGTGGAAAAGCTTGCAAATCTGTTGATTATGCTTGTGGGTTCGATTAATTCTGAGCTCGCGAAGCTTGGGTTCTCCAATTGTTTCATTTGTTTTCTTGAGATTTTTCTTTGTTTCAAGATTGACGCTTTTAGTTGGTTGATGTTATGGCTACTTGACGTTGTTTGTTCTTTGTTCTGTTTTCGCTTCTTTTTTCAGGTTATCGAGTGATTGGCGATGCGTGCAATAAGCCCAGATCGTTTCTTTGAATCGGGTTGCGACTTTGTGGTCCTTTTGTGCAGCTATGTTTGATTGGAACGACGAAGAGGTAACCCTTTCTTAGACCTGATTGTCTTCTCTTCTCTTCTCAGATTCATTTACCGTGTTCTCTCTACTTCTGTGGGTGTTCTTAGTTCTTGTGGATAGCTCAGCCGTGCCTTTCCGATTCTGAATTTTGGATCCTTTTGTTTTTCTCGGTCGTCGCGTGCTTTTCTGATTTCTAAAGGCAACAAAAACCTAGATCTTGGCATGGCGATGGAATTTTCTTAACGGTTTGCAGCTTAGATTGCTGTCTTCTTGTAGACGGATGGTCAACGTGGATCTCTGCGATTAAATTAGTGACTTCCCCTGAACTCATTTTTGGCTTTGGGGTAAACCAGGGCGGGGAGATTGCGGTTGTTTTTTGGCAAATTGTTAGCAATCTCCCATTTCCTGTTATGGGATGGTTCTTTTGAGCTCTCGGTGGTTTAGAATTAAGTAGCTGTAGGATTTCTGCTGTAAAGCTATTTTCACTACTGGATTTATCTGGGTGAAATGAGAAAGATGTGGAATTGAATAGAATTCGCTGAAACTTTTGTGTGCCAACATTTAACTGGCATTCCTTCATTAGTTGAGGATTGGAGGTGGGTTTATGGGTGAATCTAGGAGAGAAAGGTGATATTCATTAGTTGTTTGAAAAACAAAAATGGTGTGAATTTATTTCATCGAATACCGCATATGAATTTTTGACTGCCGACTCACACTTCAACTAGGACAAAGAAATGATTGTGGTTGTTAGGTATTTTTCTCAAATTCTAGGAACTTTAACTTTAGCTATATTAGAATGGATAATGATGTTCGTTATGATTTCATAAGAAGTATTCTTGATTTGATATGAAATAGTGTTTGGTAATAAAAACATAGTTGATGCTATGGAACTTGGTTTGTTCAGTAATAAAAAAAATGAACGAGATTTACAAAATGTTAGTTTAGACTATTGAGAAACAATCCTTAATATTTCAAGGGCCATCATGTGTATTTTTTGTGTTTTCTTTTGTTGACATAACTCTTACCCTGAATAATTGTTGGTAAAATTTAGATTTAAATATTGTCTTTCTTTGAGCTATGGGGTCGTCCGCTTGTTGGATTTGAAAATGAGGGTTTTGAGTTTTAAAAACCTTTGGATTTATGATGGGTTTGAAGAATCATTGTTTGTTAGTTTATTTTTTATCATGGATTTATATATTTTTGCACCATGTGTCCCACAAAGTTGCCTTACATCAACCAAGTCAAACTAAAATGTGAGATTTGCAAATCCTCGAGTCCAAAAATTTTTATCTAATAAAATTTCCAAAATTTCCACCCAAACAATAAATGCAGTTGTTCAAATCCATGATGTGTGGAATTTACGCTTCCTACTTAAGTTCTAGGTACTAACAAATGAAACACACATACTTATATGCTAGTTTTTACTCACAGTTGACTTGCGCAATTGACAGGCTGCGTTGTATTCTTCACAGAAAAGTTACAAGAGTTCTAATCTGTTTGGAGAACTTTAAGAATAATCTATATTGTTTGTTGTGAGTAGATAACACATGCCACTCAATTTGCAGTTAACTAACATAATATGGGATGAGGATGACAGAGACAACCATACTGTACCTAATCCAGAGGCAAGTGAAGCTTATAGCAGGAAGATGGAATGGACTCATGAAGCTAGTAACAGTAAGCAAGAGGAGCAGAAGGCTCCTGCAACTGAAGTTGCTATCCATGGCCGAAAGCTAGAGAGCACTTCAAACATCAACAATGGGGAAGGAACTTCTGCCTCAGGATATCACATGGACCCTTGGCCTGGCATATCTGTAGCTAGAGCTTCCAAAACGAATCAGGGTTCCTTGGAAACTTCCGGGTCTAGTTTAAGTGAGATTACCAAATTTGACTCTTCTGGAGGTGGTGATATATCATATATAAAGTATAAAAGAATATAAAGCAAACAAAGATGTTTTTGCCTATTTGATGTTGGCAATCTAATGTGAGGTTTTGTGGCAGTAGAGGCGGCTGATCCCGATAAGGACCCTGAAATTTACCGCAACCCTGATGAGAGTGAGGGACAAGCTGGCTTTGTTGACTACAGTTGGGCTGATATCGGAAGCTTTGATGACCTTGATCAAATATTCAGGTAATCCATATTTCTCAAATTGGAATCCCAGCTCATATAATAGCTGTCCAATTTGTCTCCTTTTAGTTCTGTTTGTTGCTTTGAGAAGCTTGATTAATATATAAAACCTACAATACATCCTTTACATAGTGTTTGTTCCATGATTGTCGCACCTGAATACCTTACAATCCTGGTACCCAACCAATTCTTCCGATGCTACTCTACAAATACGGGGCTATTTTGGTTTCACACATTTATCATTTTGTTTCAGTAGTTGTTTTGTTGAGGCATCTATATTCCATATTCGATAATTTGATGAAAAAGGTACATATCTGCATATGCTTGGCAGACAGAATTTCTCAATGCTTTAAATTTGTTGCTGGATTTTGTACCTTACTTCATTTATAATTCTCAAGATTTGAGTAGTATTACCCATCTGGCGTACCATCCTCACAAGTGTTGGTTTTGCAGCAATGATGATTCCATTTTTGGTAATGTACATCTTGGTAATTCTGATGAGATGTGGTCTTCGTCGAAAGAAGTGTCGAGTAGCCCGGAGAAGTCCTTTCCCTTATCCACAGAGTCTCCCAGTTTTAAAGTAGTGGTCCCAGGGGGTACATCCGAGCACTATGGTGCCAGAACAGGATATGCACAACAGGAGGAGCAGCAGGTTGCTCTTGGTTATGCAAGAGCGAGTGATCAGACATGTTCTGCTGCACAGAGTGAACATGCAGTTGGAAAGTCTGCAGAATATGGTGGAGGTGACAATAATGTCACTGTTAATGAGCAGGTATTAAAAGTAAATTATGAAACATGGATCTCTGCTTTTGCTTTGTATTATGGAATCTCAAAATTTGTTCTTTTCTATGCCTTTCAGACAGATTTGATAGGACAAGGAAGAAATCCTGCAGTGAACTCACAGCTTACTGTGGAAAGTTCTGTAATGCCAATGTTTTTGGCAGACAAGGTAGTTGTTCTCTCTGTAGACTTGGAGAATATTAGAACTACTACCTAGTAGTATAATGTTTGACAGAGAATGTCTTTGCTGTGCTGTGATGTACATATTTTTTCATAGATAGAGCAGCACTTAACACTGGAAAAACTTGATCCAATCCAGGTTTGGCTACTATTTTAATGAAGCTGGACAGGATTTGTCAAAATTTCCATTCCATTCCATTCCAGTCCTGTCCAGTCCATACTGACAAAACGCTGGACAATAGGCACTACAATCACTGTTCTGGGTTGAATTTTGTCATATGTTTTATCAGGTCATCTCCTATCCTATATGGTTGCATGAATATGACATTAGGTTGCATGAAATCAACAGTTGACTTTTGTGAAGATTCAACATCAACACCATTTAAAATCATTTATCCATATGATAATGTCCATTGCCTTGTTAATTAACTGGATAATGCTGATCTTGCACAAGCCATTTATTTAGATGTGAAGTTCTGAATCTTACTGTTACTTTCTATTATTGTTTGTTTAATTTGTACTAATAGGTCCATAAGCAAAAGAAGAACCTGAAAGGTCGGAAAAAGATGATGCAGAGAAGTGAATTAGACTCATGCCCGACTGCATATCATAACTGGAATACATCAGGAACTCCTTCTGGTCAGTTCAAGGATGTACTTGCACCTTCGATAGTGCAATCTTCTGCTCCAGTGCTCAAACAGCAAAGCCAGCAAGGAGAACCTGAATCGATACAGTACCAGCAAATGCAAATCTCCAGTCCATTTGTGGCATCCTCTGGTTATGGGAATGTTAATATAGCAAACCCTTGTTCATCCATGCCTTTGCTGTCTCATGCTCAGTCTTTGGAATTCAAGCATCAGTCTTTGCTTCCTGGCTATGATGTGTCACCAAATCAGTCTTCCATAAACAATTTGAACGGCACTGCAGTGAAAAGTAAGATGATGACATCTCAGGAAAAAATTGAAAAATTAAGGAGGCGGCAGCAAATGCGGGCTATACTTGCCATTCAAAAACAGCAACAGCAGTTTGTAAACCATCAAGCTTCATGCCGTGATCATCAAATCAACAAAAGAGCGTGGGAAGAAACTCAAGTTCAGCAGAGTAGTGGTGATATGGAAGGAGTTGAGGACCCGAGTGGTCTATCCACATTTGAGCTGGGTTCACCACCTGAACAGGATGATTCCAGAATGGTGTCTCTCTCTGTGAAAGACTATGAAACGGAAGAGTCGACCCTTCACCAGCTTCAAGACATAATTGCAAAGGTATGCATGTTGGGCTAGAAACGGATTCCTCTTTTTTGTATCATCGACCAATGGCAACGCCCAAACCGCATGTATTTTGGCTGCAGTTGGATGTCACGATTCGACTTTGCATACGAGATAGCTTGTTTCGGTTGGCTCAAAGTGCAACGCAAAGGCATTCTTTGAATGACACCAGGTGTACAAACATAAGTTGCAAGGATGAACTTGGTGTTAAACAGCAAGCTGCCAGTGGTCATGACAGGTTGGTGACGTAAAACAATACCCAAGCTTGCATCCAAGTCACTTGGCTTGTTTTAGAGTTTTCAAAAGCCTATTTTTTTTAATGATATTCAAAACCCAACTTTAATTCCTCTATTATGAACTACTCTTTTCTACGAGTTGTTGTAGGAATACCATGATACCTGAAGAAGAAACCAAGACCAACCCAATCGATCGAATCGTGGCTCATTTGCTCTTTCATAGACCTCGGGAGCTGCCCGGAAAACTCTGTGATACCCCTGAATCACCACCTGTCTCTTCCAAGCCCCCACAGGAACGCCAGGGTGTATCAGAACAGCTAGGGAGCTTCCTCTCCGAGACACCGAGAGATGAACATCAGAACTTTTCGGGCTCTAAAACTTCTTGCCTATCAGCTGATCCCAACCTTACCGGTTGTCAGGCTCAAAATGTTACATCATCGGGTTCATCAGAGAATGCATCAAACAGCGGACAGGCAGACAAGGTTAGTAGAGGTGTGGATTGTGGAAGCCTCGATATGAGCAAACACAGTGCTCTGCCCATGGAGCCATAAGTAATAGTCGTACTGTCTTTCCTTCCAACCTCTGGCAAGTATGCCAGGATAAGTTGGTACTTGTACCCATTTTTACTGGTGATGTTAAGGGAGTTATTTATTATTGTCCGTATTCTCTTCAACCTTTTGCAAAATGAGAAAAAAGGAATGTGTTATCTTTCCCAAATATTCGGACTTCATGACCCTTTTGCTCTGTTACAAACTCAACCTTGAGATGTACTCATCCGAGCGTGAATGTGCTGTTGAATTGAGAACTTTCGGTCGGTATCTCGAACTTGGTGCTGCCATGTATGGTTAATGGTTGAAGCAGTGATATAAAGGCATGGTCCATGAAATCGTACCAGGTATCGTACCGGAATAGTCAATGATATGATATTTTTATGATAAAATCGTGGTTTTACCGTAGTTGAACCGTTAGACCTTTAAATACCGCCTACCGATTTAGCCTCCAATACTGGTATTTCGTGGTTGAACCGTCGGTACGGTACGGTTTCATGGACCATGCATAAAGACAGTGTTATTAAGACCGACTCGAGCCGGTCAGTATAAAACCCATAATGGGTAGAATGGGCGGTTGGTGAGCGGCATAAGTGGTGAACCACTCGAGTTGTCCGATCGATTTTTGACTCTGGATCGCCACCTGCGAAGGGAAAAAATTTGAAAATCCAACAATTGAAAAATGAAAGTGGCTGGGTTGAAAACGTCGAATCTTTCGGAAGTTCTCTGGTGCCGGAACAAAGCCGACGGGGACCAGAGGAATGGAACTACGGTACTGGTGGCGATTCTGAAAATTTAATGGCCGCCATTGTAGATAGCGAACCACGAGCAGAGAGAAAGAAGAGACTCCGATGGTGACTCTGATAGTTTAGCTCCTTCGAAGGATAGTCCAGCGCCGGCGCCGTCCTCTGCCGGCTCTCTCTGTGACACTGTGTCAAAAATCAAACGGAAGAAGAAAGAAGAAGAAAATTGAAGAAGGTGTGGCCGCTGGAATGGGTTAGGTGTGGTAGGGTTTTTAACAATTGAATATGGGAGTTGCTAAATGTCGTCCTTAAAATTGTTAAATGTTGCCTAAAAAAGTATAAAGTTACACTTATAACCTCCTTAACTTCTTTATCTTCCCTTTAGCAAACAAACACCACTTGGACTAAACAAACACTATCTAAGGAGAGAAAAATCCATCATCGCATTTTGAAGCTGATATTGTCGGTAGGACGTCTGAATCATGAGTAGCGACTTCGACGAGGTAAAAACATTAAATAGAAAAATAAAAAAAAAACACAGAAAATGGGACCGCGGGTCACTTGCGGTTCGACCATGGTCCAACCGCAAGTCACCTGCGGTTGAGCGTTTTATGGGTTTTTTTTTGTTCAAATTAGTATTTTCTATTTTTTATATGATTTATGGTTTGTTCCATAAGATAACTTGTTGGGTTTTGATTTATATAATTTTCTAGATTTATTTGCATAACTATTTTTGGAATTGAAGGATTTAGCATTAGAAATTAAAATTAGATTTGGCCTTAAATTAAGATTAGATTTAATTTGGTCTTAATCTAGAAAATTAAGATTAGATTTTGCATTACAAATTAAGATTACATTTATTGCATAAATAATAGATTCGCATATGAAGTTATGATGATTATTAAATTTAATATAGTTATGAAATTTTAAATTTATCATATGGTACTCGTTAAATTGAAGATATAGAATGTTAAGTTTTTTTTTTTAATTTGTGGGGTATCACTTATAAATTCTGATAACATTGCAGGATATTGGAAGTTACAATCTGGATGGCCTTGAAATACACTACGGAGTTGCAAGCATATGAAGCAGCTACTGAGATTGCCAAGGGTTTTGGGTTTTATTTGGTGGGGGGAACGAACAAAAAAAAAGAATGAAGGTACTTGGCGACATTACTTACATTGCACTCATGGTAGGAAGAAGATGTCGAAGGAACCTAATTCGAGTAAGGAAAGGAGGCCTCTTACATCTACTGAAAAGTTGGGGTGCGAGTTTAAGATCAAGCTTGAGCGGTCCGGTGATGGATATTGGTTGATCCTAGGGGTGGCAAATACAAAGAATCCTGGTGCTAATTTGGGTTTCCACAATCATCAGTTGGAGCAATTTCCGGAGGGATCAAAGGGAAGGAATGTTTTGACTACAGAGGATAAGCAATACATCAGAGAGTTGAGATCAGCCGGTGTCCCACCAACGAATATCCACAAGGCAGTGAATGAGAGAAAAGGTGCAAATGGAACACATAACAGAAAGCAGATTTATAACGAGTTGCAAAACATAAGGAAAGAAGAGCTTGGTCAGATGACTGCCTTACAGTATACTTTCCGCATGGCTCAGGAGAAGGCTTACTATGTGCAGTATATGGACGATCGTAACGTGCTTACACACTTGTTCCTAGCCCACCCCGAGTCAATAGTGATGTTGCGAGCTTGGCATCATGTGATCGTGATAGATGCAACATACAAGACCAATAAGTATGATATGCCTTGGGTTGAGATTGTCGGCATGACACCAGTGGGATTGAACTTTGTCATTGCATCTGCAATAGTGTACGATGAGACGAAGGAGTCGTACCAGTGGCTTCTGACGCATTTGCAACATCTTCTTGGCCCCATTGTTCCAGATGTGTTTGTCAGTGACAAGACAGGAGGATTGGTTGAGACCGTGGGGGAATGTTTCCATCATCGACTCATATATTATGTCTTTGACATATAGATAGGAATGTGAGAGTTAAGTGTCTAGCGGAGGTGCGAAGGACGACTCATTGTGGTATAGATGCAGCCAAACCGACAGTGGATCATATCATGGCGTCTTGGCAACGTGCTGTATATGCATTGACAGTGGAAGACATGGATACTGCCTTAGACAATTTCAGACGTAGTTGGGGAGTACAGTACCGACGTCTTTAGGGGTATATGGCAGCTGAGTGGTTACCAATTAGACACGTGGGCTAAATGTTATACCAATCAAGTGCGGCATTTGGGTGACACAAGCTCTAATCGGGTTGAAGTTGCCCATTCCTCCTTCAAGAAGTGGCTTCAATCATCTACTGGCACAGTCGACACGGTTAGTCTCCTAATAAATATTCATTGATACACACATAAGTTTTAGTAGTCTCCTAATTGTTCTTCATTGTCTGTAGGTATTCAAGAAGAACGATGATTACATTGAGGCTCAACACCTTCAAATCAGGAAGCTTCTAGAGGATTCCCGACAAAAGAAGCTGCTCCGAGCGGATGGAAAACCATTTCGAGAGTTGAATACGAAAGTCACTCTAGAAGCTCTGAGGTTGATGTTGTTCGAGGTAGCAGTGGAAGGGGAACCTTGTACATGTACGTTTCCTCCTACCTATGGTCTCCCATGTAGATGTTCCATTCAGTTAGCACGAAGTGAATATCCGGATTTCGCCTTGTATGAGGTGTTGCCATTATGGACCGTTATCAACTATCGTGAACCTCCTACTCGGCCGGAGTGGGATGACCATAGTGATTACCACCGTGGTGTGTTCCAAGGTCTAGTACAGGAGGTTCTTGATAGAGGCGACGAGACCATTCGAGGTGCAATCGGTCTACTCCGGAGCCATCTTCATCCTGAAAACGATGGCATTGATGAACCGCATGGGGGACAGCCCCGCCCCGGTAGCCCAAGGACGTCCACCAATAGAAACATATCTCACTTCGAGCATGTGGAGAGGAGACAAGGGAGGAAAAGTTCAAGACTTCCGACTGCAACTCCGGACAATGATGGAAATACAGGTAGATTAAATTTTTCTATTAGTTGTGTTCAATTGTCCTCAATATGGTGTACAACTAATCTATTTTATTTTAAATGAGATAGGTGGTGCCCCGAATGTGAATGCACAAACCAACTTCGAGAATGAGACGGAGCCGATCCATAATGATACAGGTTAGAAATTATATTCCTAATTTAGGGTAAACATATAGTATCCCTCTTTGTATTAATTTAAACTGTTATGTTCTTCATTTAGATGGTGCCCCGAATGGGAATGCACAAACCAACTTCGAGAATGGGACGGAGCCGGTGATCCATAATGATACAGGTTAGAAATTATATTCCCAATTTCAGGTAAACATATTGTATAACTCTTTGTATTAATTTATTGTCTTATGCTCTTTGGCTAGATGGTGCCCCGTGGAGGGTTGCTCGGATTCCCAATACTAGTTGTTTGGAATCCTACGTGCAACGACTAGTTCGTGGTTGGCACAACCCAATTCCAGATGGACATTGTGGATTTCGAGCTATATCACAAGCAGTTACTGGGGACCAAAGGAATTGGCCACAAATGAGACGCGCTGTTGTAGAGGAGCTTGAATCCCGTCCTGAGCTTTATAGAGAGTACTATGATGGATGATAGGTCAAAAAGCGTATATGCCTCGATTCCTATCTTGTAGTAAACCGGAAATCCGGGTATTGTCTCTCAGGGACTGGTACAACCTTATATTCTATCAATTTATAGAGCAAACTATAGGTGAAAGATGGTTTGGTTGATGAGATTATTAACTAATAGCAAAATAATTAAACTAATTAAGCAAGGTAAACTTGTCGAGGGAAATTCAATGGGAGAAAGCTCTGGGAGAAACACCGGGATTCACTACCTATCCTATCCAGATTAATTCACATATTCCAATCAATTTAATCCATACCTCCACAGCCAGGATATCACGAATGTGCTAGCTATCCCTGCCGGGAATTACTACGTACTAAACAATTAAATCAAATCCTACTGTCGTAGCTCAATGACCTAATTATTTAGCCTGAAGATCGATATCCTATTTAAGACCGCATAGCACCTTAATTAATCCACTGTCGCTTCGATAAGTTACTATGTCACATGAAATATGTTCAGCTAATAGGGTTTCACTGTCGCTAATAACCTAATTAACTACAAATCGTTGTATTGGTGGCCAGTCAACACAAAGCATTAAGTAATTTCATGCAATAGAGATTGGAGGAAAAGATATA